GTTTGGTAATAGCGCACATTTGTAAAGAATCAAATGTTGTTTTTTGTTTCGTACATACATACAATCTTCTTCTGAAGATGCTAACAACATACCTAGTTAGGGAAACACGGTCGTGTCGAGTCATTTAGAAAAATCGGGTTGGTTAGTGGTAAAACAATGTAGTGGATACGACACCCCATTTTACTGGTCTCCACAATTTAGCAATCACCCTGTGTAGACATAGTGTGGGATACGAACATAGTCCCTTATCCATATTCTTTACCAACAATGTGTTCCTCCAACCTGACAAATTATTCATTGACTAAACTTTTATAGAAAAAAATTGAGACACTTCATATACAAATAGGCGAAATATGTCTCTCGAAATGCAGGAGATGTGCCTTTGTCTCTTGTGGACCCTCGAGAAAAGATAATAATATCTAGCAGAGCAGTTGGAGGAATTGGGGTGGAAATAATTCGCACAAAAACTCAATTTTCATTTTCTGAAACCTCATTCGACCCCTTACACTATATTAAAAATATAGATGCATTCTCTCATGCAAAAATGTTTTAATGCAACTTTTCATATTTCAGGTGCCCAAACCGAAATGATTGTTTCACAACTCAACACATGCTCCGCTACCTATGTTAGGATCTTCAGGATAAGATTCAAACGAATTTCATAATCTTCCTTAAAATGATAATATGGTTAGCCGATCTCAAAATTCGTGTCGAGGTGTGAAACAATCATTTTGGTATGTGATTGAAACTATTCTCTGTGATAGTGAATGAAAGGTTCCATTATTTGATATATCATTCCAAGATAACAAATGTTTGTTATTTTTGTTAAGTTCTGATGATAGTTCGAATTGTGTTAAATTTACTGCTAAAGGTGTCCAAGGAATTATAAGTGCTAGCAAGTAGGAGCAAGACGAAATAATTGAACTCTTGGATTGATTGATTGATTGATTAATAGCAGAATGATCAGTCAGGGTTTGAAGCCCAAAACACTGGGCCTATTGTATTCCTGATCATGCTGTTGACTTAGGTGAACAGGTTCGCTACCTTGATGAGGTTTAGCAGCCTCTTCACCAAATCATTCTTTGAAAATGCCTCTTGAGAGTGTACTGCTCCCAGAAGGTTGTATCTCCAACGCGCTAGTGCTTCGCACTCCAATATCACATGGGTGGCAGTTTCCTCCTCCTCATTGCATAGTCTGCATATGGGTTCGTCTGTATAGATGCCCATTTGATGCATATGTTTCCTCAAGGGGCAGTGACCGGTTATTAGTCCCGTCCCTTGTTTGATCTGACTTCTGTTTAGGCTCAGAATGTCGTTAGTCACTGTTTTGGACAGTGTTCCAACCATCAGTTTACTGTGTCTTTGTCCTGGGACATTGTTCCAGTATGCCTGATGTCTTTCTTTCATCCACCTTGCCAGCCAGCCGCGTATTGAGGTTTTGGGGATACCGAATACAGGTTCCGGTCCCATAAACAACGTCGCAGACCCTTGCCTGGCAAGAGCGTCAGCTGCTTCATTGCCTTCAATTCCCTTATGCCCTGGCACCCATTGAAGAGTTACCTTGTTGTGGTTAGCCAGAGTTAGCAGGCTTTGAAGGCAATCCCAGACCAGTTTTGATCTGATTTTATTGCATTTTAAAGATTGAATGGCCGCCTGACTATCTGAGCATATGAGGATTTGTTTACCTCTATATCCTCTTACAATATTCTCTCTCAGGCATGCCTCAATAGCATGCACCTCTTCCTGGAATACTGAAGCATACCTCCCCAAGGAACCAGTGCCTATTCATCCTCTAATTGGTCACGTCGAATGTCGTCGTTTGTACGTAAATCCGAACAAGATGAAGAATGATCTCAGGTTTAAATCAGATCCTGATAGAGAAACTATTATGTACGGCGGGTGAAGGATTATATAAACACCCGTCTGTATTTTAATAATTCGGTATATTATAATATTATGTTAGGCACCTTATTACATTCCCGTTAAGAACAAGACTAACTAGCTATAAATGTATATCTATATGAATAGTTTTTTTACTACATAAAAACGTACTTCTTTTTGTTGTGACAAATAGCAAAAAGAACTGGAATGAAATACAGGGCGTATTCAATACATTACAGAAACATCAACTAGTAGCAGCAGCAGCAGCAGCAATAGAGCTTTGTGATCTGAGCTGCCGACATTCGCCCAGGTAGCACATGACGACTATATGACGTCTAATTGACGGCATCACATTCGGCCAAAAGACGTCTTTATTTCAACAAATGCGACGTCCAAATGACGTAAGTAAGACACATCCAAATGACGTCATATTTGAAAGTCTTTTAGACGTCAGTTTGTGTTTTCAAATTGGACCTTAAACTGACACTACTGACCAATTTCCGACGTCAATAAGACGTCTGTTTTTTTTTCATAAAATTTTGGGGTTAATGGTTATAATCTGGTGAGGAATGTAATCATTTGTGCTATAAAATAAATTTGCTACGAATGAAGATTTTATTAACAAAATAGTAATGTAAGGTATTACATATAGTTGAAAATTTCAGCGTCGATGGCTGATTGGCTGCCCCTTCACAGAGAGCTCTTTTGTATGTTTTGCTGTCTTTAAATGGCGGCCAAAACATATCCTTTTTCAACGGCGTCAGCCAAATTTCGTGAACAACAGCTACGCTGTTGCATCCACTGTCATCAAGTTGTATTACACAATACATCCTGAATACTTTCACGTGAAAAACAGACTGTATAGAAATACCACTCAAACACTCAACATTTTAACATTCTTAACAAATCCAATAGCACAGACGCCGTTCACAAACAACACCCATTCATGAACGGGAACTCGGGAACGCACACCATGCACGATGCAAGCTTGACGCTGAACCACATACCGGACCGCTGAACGGCACTAACGCCACTAACGGCAGTCGCGAGATGGTCGCGAGTCGCATACACAATGTCTTCGCGTGATTACTTGATCGCCATTTGCCATCTGGTCGGTAATGTGAGAATTGTCTTTGGCGCTAAATTTAAACATTGAAAATAAAGGGAAGCCTATGGAATAAAATACATTTTTATAATACATTTATACAGTTATTTGGATAGATTAATTGATTTATTTCATAACTTCGTTTTCCTATACATACATAATAATAATGATAATAATAATAATAATAATAATAATAATAATAATATTAATAATAATAATAATGATATGATAATGATGATACTAATAATAATAATAATAATAATAATGATGATAATAATAATAATTATAGTAATGATAATAATGATAATGATGATGATAATGATAATAATACCCAAAAAAATATAGAGACCATAGATTGACGTCTATACGACGTCAAACAGTGGCTGTCCATAAGACGTCACATTAATGACGTCCGCATGACGTCATAATCTGGTCAAAAGACGTATGAGACCAAAAAAGACCTTAGATAGCGGTCCTATAGACGTCACATTCGTCAGTCTGGCTACCTGGGCGCGTTCAAAGATAATTGCTTGTTTTGTGGCCAATTCATCAAGGAAACTGAGAAAATAACAAAATCTGCCAGTACGAACTTTTGCGTTTCGACAAACTATTATTGATGTGTGTGTGATGCAAGAAACGATTTTTGATCATCAAATGTCCTTACACGTCTTCTTTCCGTTTTCGATACTTGCCAGCAGCAGATATGCTCTGTATAATCAGAAATGTAGTGTGAATTTCGGAAAAGACTACCCTATTCTTATATAAGCAACATCAACATGATATTCCCAATAAACAGACAAAGTTAGCAGGACGTCCTTCTGATAAAAATAAAGAAGATGCCTTTTTTTGAAATATGCAGGTGGCTCAAGAAAAATGATGAACCAATTTCATTTCAGGAGTTGCTGGACAAAATGACAGAGCTGCTGCCAGAAAATATCGAACCTTACACTGTTCGTCGTATGCATAAAAAATATTTCTCGGATGACATTATGATATTGAGACAAGTTAGAGCTAATATGATCGTAACAGGGAAAACAGTTGCCAATATAATTTGTGATTATCAGCGACAAAAGTGTTCAGAAGATCCTAATACTGAAAAATTTCGAATAGTTGAAGCAACAGCTAAACTGATTAAGAATTCAATCAAGTTGATGAGAACATCCTTAGAGTTTTATCCTTCACCAGAAGAAATAAGTTCCGAGCAGGAAAATAATAAGCTTTTACCCGACATTTTGAAAACATCCTTGGATGAGAAGTTTGAAGAAAAATTCAATTGAACAGGCAATAATGCAAGCTGCAAGGCCTCGATCTATCATAAGTTTGGTGTGCAATATCATCGAGATTTCCGATCTCGGTTACTTGTCGATGAACTTCATAAGCTTGGGTTTTCTGTATCATATGATGACGTACGGAAGTACTTGCAAAACTGAAGTAGATGAACCTTGTTGAACCAGATGTGACGATACGGAATTTTTTGCACAATATTGTACAATAATTGTTCGAGAAGGTACCAATATTCCAATCGAGGAAGTTGAAGATAATGAATGAATTTCTGTTACATGCCAAATATGCTATTTTTATTAGGTTTATGATTTAAACTTATTAACGAATAAACAAATATTGGAAACACTGTATTTTTATTTTGCACGAAGGTATCATTCTATATTTTCTCATATGTGTTATTCTATGCATTCTGAACTGAGAAAAGCAAAAAAAAAATGTGGGAATTATTTCCACCTGAGACCATTTTTAATCGCATATCTACTACACTAATCCATCAAGTTGGCAACTCAGTTGTTAAAGTATATTACACACCGAGGTGGGAAGAGATTCATTCCTGTCGTGATATTAGTTAGTTAACCGAGACGTAAAGCGTCGAGGTTAGTTATGATCTCGAGACAGGTCATGAAAATTTTATACTTTTCACAAGAACTTATTTCAGTTCACGCGTCTGTGGACAGAAATCTTACAAATTGCTTTTCTCAACAGTTCACTCAATTCAAATATTTTGCAGGAGGACAAGATCACTGAATGCACCATCTCCGGTCCAACAGTTCGGACCATGTGGCCGTATTATGAAAAATTCTTCCATGGTCATGTGAGTATGCTAAGAATATTTGTTTTTATCCTTCTCAAATGCTGAAATCCTATGAAGTGCAACTTCCAGGATGAATTTATATCCACCTGTATGTGCATTATGTGAAAGTTGTTTGTTGGCGCCAAGGAGTAGTTGATTCATAAATCAAATGAAGTTGATCAGGTTTTCACAGTAGAGGTGCGATAAGATAAGTATATTGTGTAGGCAAAATTTGACATTTTATTGGGATATGAGATTTTGTGATATCTGATACGGAAATAAAATTCATGACGTTTGACCCTTTCGATTTATCCAAATTTTTTTTCGCACGATTTTCGATTCACCCAATTTTCCATTCGCCCAATTTTCGATTTACGGACCACCGTCTCCGGACATACCCGAAAGATGCGTTGTTGTCAAATACTGCCATATTTCTAGTCGATTTTCAAATTGAAAATGTATCCTTGAAGTAAATAGTGAAAAATAAATTGTCCAATGATGAAAAAAGGAGAGCAAATAGTTCCAAGACAAGCGGAAAAAGATGGTGAAATTTAGAACTTTTTCGAATATCTCGATAAATAGGTAGTGGTTTGTTTACAAAATTCGTGTTTATCAAATTCGTATTTTCGAGACAAAAAAACGTAAGTAAAAAAAAAAGAAATCGGAAAAAGAAACAATCGCATGATAAGTTCAAAATTACTAAATTTTGAAAAATTCTTACAGTACTTTTTTGATTCAAAATTGTTTATGCTGTACGAAATCTTGATAAATCAAATCCTAAATTGAAGAAATATTAGTCCATTAGCCGACATCAATCAATGACTGATACCTACTTGCGAGCCTATACTTGTCTAGATATCTCTGAAACGAATTATTGTATCGATATTTTTTAAGTGGCATAAAATAATATAAAATGATTGATTATCTCAACGAAAATTTGATAAATGATTTTCCAAATATTTTTTGTTCTATCTATCAAAAGATGTGATTCTTTACGTTCAAGTATCTATAATAATAGTTATGAACAGTTTCAAACTTGAGGTTTTGTATATCTTCTAAAATAAAAAATGGCATTATAAAAGTCATATCATTACTTTCTTCGATAAGGTCAACAGTTTAACTTTTTATTACTATTTAAACGTCACCTATGCGTGCCTTCAGAGGTCTGCAAGTTTTACCAATATATACAGCTTCGCAATTTTCGCAATTCAATTTGTAAATACCACTTTTTGATGTCCAAATAGCTGTTTCTGCGTTTTGACTACTTTTGTCAAAATTACCAAATCGTTGTTTCGGCAAAGGGTCCACCGATCTGTTTCGGAGTTTTGACCGAAAATTCAGCGACTTGGCCGAAAATTCAGCGACTTGTCTGAAAATTCAGCGACTTGTCTGAAAATTCAGCGACTTGTCCATTCGCCGAACTGTCTGGGACGTGTATTGGCATTGTCTCCTACGGTACGACGCAACCCTAAAAAATTACGAGGAAAAATGAATGCCGAATCACGAAAGACAATGTCCCACGATTTGCCAGTAATGGCTCGACATCCTCTCCTGCATAAGGGCACCAAGAACTGAATATTGATGCGTCAGGATGTAGTAGATTTAATTGCCCACTCTTCAATTATTTCGTCAGACTAACTCTCGATATGAATAATTGAATGCGAGTTCGGAACGTGGGGTTTTTATATACTATGATTGATGGCGTTAACGATGGACCATTTTGTGGAAAATTTCAAAATGCGTTTCGAATCTTATTATGAAGTTAAACTAGACTTTCAAGGATGTGTTCTCCTCCTTTTGGGGTCCGAAGAGTCCCGTTGATGATGCACGACTTCAATAATTGCTGAATAGAAGCATCTAGGGGCAGGACGCAAAAGATACAAGGCGCAACAAATAACGCATGTCAGAGATAAGTTACTTATCTCTGTCCGTGTGGAAACATCTTGATCCGTTGATCGTGATTCGACATATCTGTCACGAGTGTCACGTTTTCGGCATATTCATGATTTTGTTCAAATTTCAGATAGAAATATTAAATTAAAAATGAGTTAATAAACTATTATAACAGAATTTTCTACGTATCGTTCATGAATTCACCACTCAAAATCGATAATATAATGCACCGTTTCCATTTACACAAGAGATTGTGATAATGAAAATGTGAACTTGAATGAATGTGTCATGAAGCCTATAAATTTAGTTTGAAACCTCGAAAATTTGGCAAGATTCTCCCACGCCTCGCTATTTTTACAAAGTAGGCGATATCGAGAGATCTCAAAACTCCTTTCAATAGGAAGTAATAACACCATTAGACTTTCTATATAGGAGGCCAATCAGAGCGATTTTGGCAATGGCGGTAAATTCGAATCACTATTATTGACGTTAAATTCGAATAACGATTGTTTTCACATCATATAGTAATAGACAATACCCTTAATTGGCGAAGAATCAAGTCTCATGAAAATTTCCGACCGAAGCTCGCTCACGGCCGATCAAAAAAAAAAATCATTGAAATAGCGATTCACTATCGGCCTCAACCTCAACAGTAGTTCTCTTTCAGGGAGGAAGGAAAATATTCCTCTTGTATAGGAAAGGATCCTATTTTTTTCAAACATTTTAACCTAAATGAAAATTCTTCCTAAGAAGTATATTTTTCGGAAGAACATTTGAGAAATTGGAATTAAAAAAAAAGCCGACCGTCAAAGGATTTGAACCATACCCAGATCGCCGAAGTGGAATTTGAACGCATATCAACTGATCCACGGAGGTACTTGAAAATTGGAGTATGAAAAAGAACTCGTAGTGATAGTATAAATATATGATGAACTGATATTCACCATACAGGTCGTGGAATAAATGGAGTATTTGTTGCACCCTGCCTATAGACGTTTGTCGACACGCAGGCGCTTCTTTTGGATTCAGGTTCTGAATGGTCTATAGGAATCGCCTATGCATATGTTTTGGCATGGCAAAACGCGTTCAGCGTTTGAGTGGATTAGGTATGACTCAATAAAAAATATATATTATTATTTTCAAATATTTTGGGAAAATCTATGAATTCGAACTGGTAGGTCTCACAGAGGCAGTAGACGTTGAAATTGCCACTAATCTACAAAATTTGTTTGTTATTCCCACTTTTGATATCAAATATTTCACTATGCTTCATTTCTTCATTACTGAAACTCGAGCTGAAACTAGAGGTACATACCTACTAGAGCTTGGTGTTTCTGATGAATCAGAATCACTATCGGTGTATATGTAGATCTCACAGAGGCAGTAGACGCTGAAATTGCCACTAATCTACAAAATTTGTTTGTTATTCCCACTTGATATCAAATATTTCACTATGCTTCATTTCTTCATTACTGAATCTCGAACTAAAACTAGGGGTACATACCTACTAGAGCTTGGTGTTTCTGATGAATCAGAATCACTATCGGTGTATATGTCTTCTAATGTTAATAATATGATTAATCACTTCTTCCATAATTTAAACGTGAGTAAAGTAGATAATAAGAATGATCACATCGAAAATCGAAAGATCATAGGTTATGGTTATGTTTTGCTGACACAGTGTACCAGTACAGCCAAATTCGTTCCGAAATGAAATACAACAGGCCTGAAAATTCAAAACTGCTGCTGGTTAGTGTACCTAAATTGCTTATACTGCAATATAGGAACATGAACATAGGCTATATTCCTAATTCAACTGACACTACTGAATCTGCTGATTTTTCATTCCGAAAACGAAAAAACTCACTGAAAGTGACAGATACTTGTGAGCAGACATACTATTGATTCTAAATATTTCGACTCAACATTCTGCTGAAATTGCTGACTATCAAAAGGTAGTGTGGTTTCAGTGAACTGTAATTATTCTAGAGGGGGAAGGAATGTCCTTGTTCTTTAAACATCAAGTCTTGTCTTATCAATATTACATTAATAATATCATATATAATATCAGAAAATGCCTGTTATAAATTCCACCAGCTGATCAACTGCTGCTGATTACTGATAAAAAAAATGAAAAAGTGTTCCTAATTACAGCACTGTATTATCGATTTTATATTTCGGAACACAGATTTTCAGCAGAGCGAGTGTATTTACTGACAGTACTGATCACTAGTGACCAGTTGAATATAGTCGGTGCTCTCATTAGAGCCTAGCCATAGCAACACTATACGGGAAATATCGCCACGATGGCAAGTCAAGAGCATATACATTTGTTTTGTAGTTTGTTTTGCCAGAAGCGTGGTGGTCATTAGAGTAGTGTTCCTTCCTCCGAACGGACCCTCGCGACAATACTCTCTGGAAAATGACTGAAAGATTGAAAAAACAGTTCACCCCCATCCCAACCCTAGAGTATGGTCGCGAGGAAGCGGTCTCAGATCCGGAGAAGGCGGTAATGCTTGGGAGACACTTCCAAATGATATCGAAAATTAATAAAGAGCCAGTAGGTGAGGTCCAGGAGGACATGGCGGCAACAGCCGCACGAATAAGAGCACAGCCCACCATCCCGCCCAAGCCCTGGGCAAAACTATTACATCCCCCAAAGAGGTTATGAGGATAATCAAGAACCTCAATATCAACAAACCACCAGGGCTTGATGGTCTGGACATGGTTCTCCTAAAAAACATGGCACGCAAAGCAGTAGTGCAATCACTCTACGTCATCAACGCTATCATAAGATGCCAGCACTACCCAGTATGCCTGAAAACTGGGCTTGTTGTACACATCCCGAAACAGGACAAAAACCTAAAATCCACAAATGGCTACCGCCCCATATCTCTGTTCTCCATCCTCTTCGACTAATATCTCAAGAGGTCGAGAAGCTGGACATCATACCAAAGGAACAGTTCGGGTTCCGCAAGGGACACAGCACTGTGTCCCAAGTGGCCCGAATTGTTCATGAGGTTAAGAGGCCAGCAACAACGATAAAAATACCGTTCTGGTCATGATGGACGTAGAAAAGGCCTTTGACACCGTCTGGCACGAAGGTTTAATGGTCAAGCTGCACAAGG